TGAGGGTTGCGATCCCGTTGCCGGTCCCCGGTCCGGTATGGGGCAACACTGAGGGTTGCGATCCGTGGCCAGACACGGAAAAAGACAAAAGACAAAAAAAAAAAAAAAGTTTTCACATCTCAAAAAAACCCACCAAGAAAACGAAAAGGCAAACACACTGAGAGAAGATGTTTGCAAACTCTATACTGGATCAAAGACGTATATCTAGAATATATAAAGGATATTTAAAATAAGATGACAACCCAATTAAAAATAAGCAAAAGATTTGAATAGATTTTCACCAAAGAAGATAATACGAATGGTGCATATGTGTATATAAAAGATGCTCCACAGCACTAGTTATTTGGGAAATGCAAATTAAAACCACAATGAAATACCTCCACATACCCACTTGAATGGCTACATCAAATGGACAGATGATACCAAGTATTGACGAGAATATGGAGAAATTGGAACCCATGAAATGGTACAGCCACTTTGGAAGACAGTCTGGCAGTTTCTTAAAAAGGTAAACATAAACTTACCATAGGACCCAGAGATTCCACTCCTAGGTCTCTACTCAAAAGAAATAAAAACATGTCCACACAAAGACATGCTCACGAATGTTCACAGCAACATTATTCATAATAGTAAATATGGAAACACAAGCATCCTTCGATTAGTGGAGAAACAAAATGTGGTATATCCATACCATGAAATACAACTCAGAAATAAAAAGGAACAAATTTTTGACACATAACATCATGGATGAACCTCGAAAACGCAAAATGCAAAGAAGCCTGATGCAGAAGACTGCATGTTGTCATGACTCCATTTGTAAGAAATGTCCACAAATGGCAAATCTATAGAGCCAGAAGGCAGGTCAGTGGTTTCCTGGGGCTAGAGGAGGGAGCACGAACTAACTGTAAACAGGCAGAAGGAAGCTCTCTGGGGTGATGGAAACATTCCAAAGCTGGTATGTGGTGATGATAGTACAACTCTACAAATCTGCTAAAAATCACCAAATTGTACACTTCCAATAGGTGCATTTTGCAGTATGTGGATTATATCACCATCACAAAGCTGTTAAAAAAAAATTACAACAAAATGTTATTGGCTTAAGAATCATTAGACTATCAAAAGAAACTGAATAGGTGGATATAAAACCAGAATATCATCTTTTTAGTATCACAAATCAATGGGAAAGGGGTGGAGTCAATGGTGAGCTCATCAGCTTAGCACTACTGGGAGGGGTAAAAGAGCTCCACTTCCTGCCCTACACCAAGTAAATTCCACGTAACCTGAAGAGGAAAATGCAAAAACTACATGACAAAGGGGAAAATGCAGGACAAACCAAAAGCAAGAAGTCACTGAACACTAAGTCGGTTTCAGGCTAGGGGTAAATATGTAAGGAGCACGTACAAGTTCATCATGAAAAAAACCCAACTATTTAGAAATGGAAAAGTAAAGCAGACTGTTCACAGAGAAGGAATGCTGAGCACTTAAAATGTGGCTAACATGACAGAGGAAATGGGTTTTGAATGTCACTGAATTTGACTAATTTAAAACGGAAACAGTCGCTCATGGCTAGAAGCTACCATATTGGACAGCGCGGCTCTAAGGCACTTCAAGCCAGGCTCAAGGGCTCAGCTGTCCCCTGCCCATTCCCCGCCCCACACTGCCCGGACAGAGCTGGAGAGGGTCACAGCGCCCAGGGAGATGGGTGTACATGGGGTAGAAGTCACCGCTACCAACGCGGAGGGCCCTGAAAGCTGGGAAATGCATTCTTACCTCTTCCTCTTCCTCTGAGCTACTTTCTTCACTGTCAGATCTTGGAGCTACTTCGTACCTAGAGAAAATATTAGTGCTTTACTATAAAAGTCCTCAGAACCAGCAGGACTCACTTTCCTTAGCCAACAGGCCTGGCATTCCAATGCAAGCCAAACCACCCCCGGCTACTGTCAGCTTCCAGGAACGGGGCCCAGTGTCACCTTGGGATCCAGGCTGCATCTGGATCACAAGCCCCACTCACCCTGGGTTCATCTCGAGCCAGGCCTCCAGCTGCCCAGCTTTGGGGGCATCTGTGCCCGTGAGGATCTTCCCACTCTCCACGTGGATCACTTTCACAGGTAGGTCACTCATCTGGCTGGTCTCGTCCAGAGGCTGAAAAGGAGTTACCTGTGTGACCCAAGGTTCCATGCTCTCAAAAAGAACAGGGCTGGGTCAGCCCCATGGCTCACTCGGGAGAGTGTGGCACTGGTAGCACTGAGGCCGTGGGTTTGGATCCTACATAGGGATGGCCAGTGCGCTCACTGGCTGAGCGTGGTGCGGATGGCACCGTGCCGAGGGTTGCGATTCCCTTACTGGTCAGGGAAAAAAAAAAAAAAGAACGGGGCTTACTGTGACCACATTGGGAAGTACCCTCCCAACTCCACACCCAGAAAATGGTATGACAGTGGTGGTGAAATAGCTTAACTGTATATTAATAATTCCATAAAAACACATAACTCTTCAATCCTAGATATATGATCACTCTTTCTTGGAAACAACTGACATACACATTTTAATTTTCAAATACATACTACGAGGATACTCAAGAAGCCCATGGAAAAATAGAATCAAAAGATAACACGTGCAGCACTCTTTACAATAGCCAAGAGTTGGAATCAGCCCAAATGTCCATTATCAGATGAGTGGATATGGAAAATGTGGTATATCTACACAATGGAATATTACTCAGCTATAAAAACGAATGAAATACTGCCATTTGCAACAACATGGATGGACCTTGAGAGAATAATATTGAGTGAAACGAGTCAGGCAGAGAAAAAGAAATACCACATGTTCTCACTCATCGGAGGGAGCTAAAAAAACAATCAAATTAATTCCCCACATACACACAAAAAAAAAACCGGGTGGGGGGGAAGAAGATATAACAACTATACCTTTTTGAAGTTGTTACAACAAGCAAACGGAAAGGACATTCTTGGGGGGGAGGGGAGAGAGGGAGGAGGGAGGGAGTTGTCGGTGATGGGCCATAATAATCATATACATTGTATATTGACAAAATAAAAATTTAATGAAAAAATAATAATAAATAAATAAATAAATAAAATAAAAATCTCCTTAAAAAAAAAAAAGATAACACGAATCTTTCCATGCACACTCTGAAGTACCCTCGTTCATTCACATAGTTCAAAATTCAACACTCCCCCTGCACCATTCCCCAGCCCAACGATGCCTCTCCTCCCAGGAATCTTCTGGCAGCCGTTTGTCATACATCCTTCCCAATCTATTCCATGCATGACAAACAAGGACTTAAGCATTTCCATTTCTTCCCTCTTTTTTCACACAAACCCACAACTCATATTCATCCTGCCCCTGATTTTTTTCTCACTCATACTGCATTTGTAGACTTCATTAATGGCCCTCAATCTTTTTTGTTAAACAGCTAGAGCTAGCTGGAATACCTGAAAAATAAAACGACTTCTTCTAAGCAATGAATATGGAACTCCTTGGAATTCCTGATGTTGAGATACCAACTTTGGATAACAGTTTACCCTTCAATGGCTCCTTCATAGTTCCTGGAGAAAACCTCAGGATTAGGATGAAGTTCTTGGTTTCTATGTTCCAGGAACTTATACCTACCTCCAAAAAAGGCTGTGTGTAGGGTACTGAATAAGAAAGCTGACAAAGTCCTTGCTATTCTATGAAAGCCAGCAAAGCTGGCATCCCTTTTGCCTACTTCCCCCTTCTCCCTCCCCTTGAGGTCTGACCTTTGATTGAACCCAGGACCCCAGAAGCTTTGTAAATAAGAAACTTATGTTCTTATTTTGTTGATAAATAGTTCCTATGAATCCTCAAGTGCTGTGGCAGCTGAAAATATTCTACAGATAACTTGGTACCAAACATAACTGACTTAATCAGTATGATTTGTTATTTTCCCTGGCTTATAAAAAGAAACCTAAAATAAATGAGGATGCCTTACAGGTCAGCAGCCTGAAAAGGTCCTCCTGATCCCATACATGTCTCTCTTCATTTCCCACTGTCTCCCCTCGGGGTACTGGTTGGCAACAGCTGCACTCACTTTTGACACCATAAACATGCTGGAGGATGACAGTGAGCCCCACCAACGGGCTGTGCAGACACCTCCATCGGGGACTTTCAACCCTGCATGCTCCCTGGGACCACCAGAGGGAGTGGGTAAAGATGCTGACGCTGGCTTCTTTCCTGCACCCCTAAACTTCTGACTGACCTGCTCTGGGGTAAGGCTTGGGCATCCCATTTTTTTTTAAAGCTCTGCAGGTAATTAGCAAGTACAGCCAAGACAGAGGACAAGGAAACTCCACAAGCAGCACTGAGTGATGGTGCCCTTACTACACAGGAAAAGCAGCCACGGGAAGGACACAACAGAATTCCCCCAACCACACTTTCCTACAACATGACTTTTTCCTTGAGTCCCCTGAATGGCCTCAGGAAGAAGGCTTTGTACTTTAGTAAAATGCCCGCCCCCATTCTTCCAAAGTTATTCAATATAACATTTGTAATAAAATCAACTGAAATAGGGAGGGAAGGAGGGAAGGATGAATAGCAGAGCATAGAGGATTTTCAGGGCAGCAAAACTATTCTGAGGGGCCGGACCGTGGCTCACTCGGGAGAGTGTGGTGCTGACAACACCAAGGCCACAGGTTCGGACCCTATATAGGGATGGCCGGTTCGCTCACTGGCTGAGCATGGTGCTAACAACACCAAGTCAAGGGTTGAGATCCCCTTACTGGTCATCTTAAAAAAAAAAAAAAAAAAAAAACTATTCTGTATGACATTGTAATGGTGACTAAATGACATTATGCATTTGGCAAACCCCACAGAACTGTACAACACAAAGAGGAAACCCTAATGTAACAATAATACTATACCAATATTGGTTCATAATTGGAGCCAGCCCATAGCTCACTTGGGAGAGCGTGGTGCTGACAACACCAAGCCAAGGGTTAAGATCCCCTTACCGGTCACCTTTAAAAATAAATAAATAAATAAAAATATTGGTTTATAATTGTAACAAATGTACTGCACTAATGCAACAAGTTAATAGGAGAAATTGTGGGGGGGGGAGGGACCATCTGGACATTCTGTTCAATTTCTCCATAAACCTGAACGTGCTATAAAAATAGTCTATTAAAAAAAAAACAGGTCGGGCCGGCCCGGTGGCGCACTGCTACAGTACACCGCTTGGGAGCGCAGTGGCGCTCCCGTCAAGGGTTCGGATCCCACATACAGACTGGCCACTCACTGGCTGAGCGAGGTGCGGGCGCAACACCAAGGGTTGCGATCCCGGTCCGGTACGGGCGCGACACTGAGGGTTGCGATCCGTTGCCGGTCACGAAAAAAGACAAAAAGGAAAAAAAAAAAAAAAAAAAAGGTCACCTGAGATAAAAATGTGTGTGAGTTGATCAGCACAATCACTCACTTCTAGAAATCCAGCCTATAGAGAAAAGTGTACATCTGCTATGGGCTGAATTTTTGTCTCCCCAAAATTCATATGTTGAAGCCCTAACCCCCAACGTAATGGTACTTGGAGATGGTGCCTTTGGGCAGTAACTAAGGTTAGATGAGTTCATGAGGGTGGGGCTCTCATGATGGGATCAGCGCCCTTGTAAGAAAACATGCTCAACATCTTGCACTCTGTCTCCCCCTCCACGTGAGCACGGCAGCTATCTGCAAGCCAGGAGGAGAGCCCTCACCAGGAATGGACCCTGCTGCCACCTTGATCTTAGACTTCAGCATCCAGAACTGTGAGGAAATAAATGTTGATCATTTAAGGCACCCGGTCTATGGTATGCTGTTGTGGCCGCCCAAGCTAAGATAGCATCAAAACATAATTTCCCAATGTTGCAATGCTCACTACAACTATGTGTGTGACAGGACAAACAGAAACATCTGAAATATCCACCAATGGGGGAGGAGCTAAAAAACGTGGCACGTTCTAGCTGCTATAGGTGGCATCTCTGTAACAGCCACAAACTAGAAGCGGCCCAAACAGTTATCAATCTGACCGATGAACTCAACTCAAATATATCGGCACAATAAAAGGATAACAGAATCACAAGGCTTGGTGTGGAAAGCTGCCCAAAACATCCACTAAATGGAAGAAGTCTAGCTATGTCTAGATTGACCCAAATGGTTCCAAAATCCAGAGGGCATAAGCACAGAGATTTCTGGAAGGGTACAGGGAAGACATCAATCAGAGATCAACAGGCCTGCCTGTGGGACTTGTTTCATGTCAGTGTTGACATTTTTCTGCAAGAAATATCACATTCAATCAAGCAAGCAAGGGCCATGTCTAGCACAGGGACATCAGAAAGAGTAAGGTGAGTGTTGGGCCGGCCCGGTGGCGCACTGGATAAGTGCACCGCTTGGGAAGCGCGGCGGCGCTCCCGCCCGAGGGTTCGGATCCCACATACAGACCGGTTCCCGCTCGCTGGCTGAGCGAGGCGCGGGAGCAACACCGAGGGTTGCGATCCCGTTGCCGGTCCCCGGTCCAGTACGGGGGCAACACTGAGGGTTGCGATCCGTTGCCGGACACGGAAAAAGACAAAAGACAAAAAAAAAAAAAAAAAAGGTGAGTGTCCGTGAGCTAACTTGGAAAGATGTCTGAGACGCAATGCTAGGTGGGAAATGCTAGCAGCACACACATGGCAAAGGTCCCGGAGCCAACACCCAATGGTTCATCATGGTTCCTCTCTGGGAAGGACTGTGGAGGGTTTGGGAGGGGCAGTACAGGAGACACTCCTTATTTACATACCTTTGATCCATCTTTCTTCCAAATGAGTATGTCAAATGAGGACACCTGCCCTCAAGAGGCGGATAGGAATAGTATGGAAAAGATGGGCACATAGGGACAGTGACCCCTCCCCGAGCAGACCACTCTGTACAGTTCTGACTTATGGAGCCATGCTACTGCTTCACATTAAAATAAATAAATGATGAATGAATACATAAAGCCCACAGGGACAGGGGACACCACAGTAATGGGGGCATCCAAGTAACTTCTTTTTTTTTTTTTTTTTTCCTTTTTGTCTTTTTTCGTGACCGGCAACGGATCGCAACCCTCAGTGTCGCGCCCGTACCGGACCGGGACCAGCAACGGGATCGCAACCCTCGGTGCCGCGCCCGTACCGGACCGGGACCAGCAAAGGGATCGCAACCCTCGGTGCCGCTCCCGCACCTCGCTCAGCCAGTGAGCAGCCGGTCTGTATGTGGGATCCGAACCCTCGGCGGGAGCGCCGCTGCACTTCCCAAGCGGCGCACTGTAGCAGTGCGCCACCAGGCCGGCCCATCCAAGTAACTTCTGAACACAGTATTTGGAGCACAAATCCTTGGGCTGAAGAACTCGCAACAACTACTGAACTTAAGTGAGGAGGCTTCTTTATAGCGGCATCTGTTAGCAATTTGGAAAGTACTTTCTGTGTATTCTAGGACTAAGCAAATAAATAAATACATTTACTAAGGAGAGCGAGGTTTCTGATTCTAGAAATATGGAAAGGGAGAAGGGTAGAAATAACCCTGTGGTATTGAATTCGAATCAAAGGCGTCAGTGTGGCCTCAAGATTTTAATATATATAAATATCATATACATATGTGAACATACATCTATTTCCTAGATCTTGCTATTGAGAGGGCCTAGAAGCAGTAACACCCCAGTGGCAGTAAGGACACAAAGTCAGGTCCTGGTTTCTACATACTCCTCTCTGATAAAAGGAACCAAAACACCCTGGAGAAATAAATGGCTGACTCCAGGGCTTGGGTAGGGAAGACAGGAGCCGGGCCTGGTAAGGAAGGAGGTGCTAAAAGGATGATAGGGACATGTCAAAAGGACGGGAGCCAATCTGAAGGGGCTCCTACTGGCCCACACTAAATAATCACAATAAATAACAGTGAAGGATTATAATCTATTAAACTAAGTAAGAGTCCATGAATCTACAATTGGGGGTTGGCAGATTACAGCCCACAGGTCAATTAGGAGAGAAAGCTTTTCTCACCATAGAAAGACAACTAAGGGCTGGCCCATGGCTCACTTGGGAGAGTGTGGTGCTAATAACACCAAGGCCACAGGTTAGGATCCCTATATAGGGATGGCTGGTTAGCTCACTTGGGAGAGCGTGGTGCTGACAACACCAAGTCAAGTCAAGGGTTAAGATCCCCTTACCAGTCATCTTTTTTTAAAAAAAGAAAGCCAACTAACAAATGCAGGAAAAAAACGATGGAAATAAAAAATCACTGTTTTATAACCATCACAGCAAAAACTGATACAGGAAAGAAAAAGTTTGAAGGCAAGAGGAAGTTTGAGGAGTTATAATATATTTACACAGTGTCTAATATCTCCCACCAGGTACTAAATGATTAGAAAAGGAAAAACAGTAATTCTACAGTAGAATTCTATTCCTTGACCAAGGGATCAAGGTCAACTTCACCAGTGACATTACAACCTATGTCACACACTCCCAATGTGACGCACTGAGAAGGACACTGGGTCACTTTGGGGGTCTTCCTGCCAAAAAGATATAACCTGCATCTAATCACGAGGAAATAGACCTAAATTGAGGGCCACTGGAAAAAATGCCTGGACTGCTCTCTTTGGAAATGTCAAGGTCATATATGGCAAAGAAAAAATGAGGAGCTGTTCAAGATCAAAGCAGACTAGAGGGACCTCCACTGGATGTGAAGCGGGACCCAAGTTTTCTGCTGCTCTGAAGAACACTGGAGGGACAGCTGGTGAAACTTTAACGTAAAGATCTGTGGACTAAATAACAGAATTGCATCAACGCTCATTTGCTAGTTTTGATCGCTGTGGTACATACGGAAGGTAACAACCCCATCTTTAGAAGTACACGCTGAAGGGCCGGCCCGGTGGCGCACTGGATAGTGCGCCACTTGGGAAGCGCGGCAGCGCTCCCACCCGAGGGTTCGGATCCCACATGCAGACCGGTTCCCGCTCACTGGCTGAGCGAGGCATGGGAGCAGCGCCGAGGGTTGCGGTCCCGTTGCCGGTCCCCGGTCCGGTATGGGGACAACACTGAGGGTTGCGATCCATTGCCAGACACGGAAAAAGACAAAAAGACAAAAAAAAAAAAAAAACAAAGAAGTACACGCTGAAATATGGGAAGATAAGGAGCCACAGTGTATGCATCTTACTCTCAAAGAGTTTAAGAAAAAAATATATGAAAATAGGGAATCTCGGGCCGGCCCGGTGGCGCACTGCTACAGTGCGCTGCTTGGGAATGCGGCGGCACTCCCGCCGA